CTGTCCAATCTTTTACCCTTTAACCTATCAATAGGTAATCATTTGAAAGCTAGAGAATGCCGTTTTTTCCTGGTAAAGATAATGGCCTGAGATACAGTTAAGAATGGGTAACTGATAATTGCACCTTATAAAACGCAACACCCTTTAACACGCCGCTCAATTGAATTCACTTCTTAATTGAGGCAATAACTGTCAACAAATTTATTACACTTGTTTTTTATGGGAGTAGACTCATTTGGACACTAGAGCAAACAATTGTAAAACTTCAACTTAATCTACTAATCCAATTATTGTTTTTTCACTAATTTTAACAAAAATTGGCCGGGGACCTTCACAAAATTTAACATTGACGATCATGAACAACAAGTGAAAGGCCATAATTTCTCATTCTTTTAGCGTTGATTTAAAAAAAATCAGAATGAAAATTCAATCAGAAGCATTCATCTTTTTTTAATCAAAATAAAAGTATTAAAATCGCAATAAAATGATCATTTTACTTGTTGTTCGTGATCGTCAATGTTAAATTTTGTGAAGGTCCCCGGTCAATTCTTAGTTAAATTAGTGAAAAAACAATAATTGGATTAGTAGCTTAAGTTAAAGTTTTACAATTGTTTGCTCTAGTGTTCAAATGAGTCCAAACCTTTTTATGCTTGTATCATTCTTGAACAATTATGATTTACAATTGAATCATTTCATAATCTGTTTAGATTGAAAATTCAATTTACCTGGAAAACTTGGTTATAATTTGATTAGACAGATTTATGTAGCAAGTTACAACTCCAATTGTAATAATTTTTCTTGATTTACATGGGATTTTACTAAACTTTATCATCATCATTAACCACCTATCATTTCATAGGGAAAAAAAAGATATTAAGAGTTGAGAATTTGTTTTATCCAATTTTTGGATCATCAAAAAAAGTATAAATTTCACAATTTGTTTCTTCCTCTGGATTCATTTTTTGATGTAACTATTGACTCATTTTCTGGTTAAAATTTACTTGAATTTTTTATTGATTTTCGTTTTTTTTCTCTTCTCTTTTTCTATTCTAGTGGTAGCTTTGGTCTTTGGCTGGATGGTGACCTTTACCATGGAAGTAGTAATCCATGTCAAACCTTTGGCAATCCTCGACTATCAAAGAACCAAGATTTTGTGGTGAAAACGTTGGAATGCTGGGGATTTGTTTGAAAGCTGCTGACATGATCGTTATCATGCTCCTCTGATTTAATCTGTAATCATTGATTCTTGGATTGAGCAAGCAACAAAGAATGGAAACAATTATAACTAATCAAAGTCATTGTGAATCAATATGTGTATTCATTTATACTGTCAACTCTGTTTCCATTCTTTCCTTTTCCATTCTCTTCTATTCTCTATCTCTCCTTTGGAAAAGCTGCAACACCGAGAATCTATTACCTCTTTTCACCAACAATTAACTCAATTGTTGATTGTAATCAATTGGATCATCATATCAAGTGATCATCATTGAGAGTCAATACCAAAATTTCATCTCAATTTTTCTTTCCTTTTGCCAAGCCCAAACAATCTAAAACAATCTGAAAAACAAAAACAATCTCTAATCAAAAATTAATTAGAGTTTAAACCGACTAATCATAGTTTACCAAAATCCTATGTTAGATTTTACAATTTAACTCTAATTACTTCCCATTGAACTAAATTGTGTTGATTTATGTTTTCCTCTTTTCCACTCATTTTTCTGTTGTTTCTTCCTTTTCTTTTTTTCTTACAAACTATCATGTTATTTCAATCTCTTTTCCGATTTCATTTCTTTTTTGATATTATTATCGTTTTCTTCTCTGTTCTGTTATTCAATAATTTAACAATCAAGTTAATTAATGTAATATCCAATAATCAAACTAGTTGGTAGTTGAACGTCCAAATGGCTGTTTGCCATCGATTACCAGTCCGATTTACTGATTGATTAAGTGAGATTACGGAAAGAGATTAATGACAAAAGATAAAATAGTATTTATGTAGATTTATGATTGCTAAATTGCAATCTTGGACAATCCAAATCTCAGTTTAACTTTAATAATTGCGACAAACAAAAGCGAATTAATAAATGTAACATAGAATTGAAAGACAAACAATTTCTGATTAAAAATTCAATTGTACCTTATATTTTTCATTTTTAACGTGATTTCATTTATTGATTTTATTACCTTTCCATTAGTCAAACCCAAATTTATTGGTTAACTTATTGATTATTTTTCTTGTTCAATCTTTTGTCTACCTTTAGCTGATATCATTTCATCTTGGATGGTCATTTTTATTATGGAAAGCCAGCTATTCAATGTTCAACCTTACAGAATCAAAGGCTATAAAAATCAAACAATTTGTACTGAATGTTGAAATTTAATTTAATCACTTCATCGGATGGGTTTGAACATGAATCGGCCATTGAACATCGTCCACCTTTCAGGTCTTCCCACATTACCATGCCTGTAAGGATTGGGAGAAATGAAAAGATACTGATTATTCCATCTTTATTAATACACGGATGAAGACCAAAAGAATAGGGAAAACTGCTTAAGAAATAATTTTTTGTGAAGAATATATATGATGTAAAAAATTATGCTGAATTCATTTCTTCAAACCATTTTTCAAAATGATTTTTCGTGGGGAAGACACCATGAAATAACTTTGAAAATGTATGGGAAACACCCTATTATAAGAGTAAGAGTAATGATCAGATAAAGCAAAGATTGACTCACCTACCAGGTCGATTAACTTCTTGAGGAGTTAGGCAAAGATTTAGGAACCCATGAGTAAATGGGAGTCAAAAGGACGAAATGAAAAACTAGGTTTCTCCATGTTGAAGCAAGCATTGTTTAATTGCCAATTTTATCATTCAGATGAACTCTCTTGTAATAGCATCTGATTGCACTAAAACAGTTTTTGCTGCTGCAATATTTTAAGCTTTTTACGTTACGATACAGTACACCCTCTCTACAACAGTGTCCCATAGTCATGGGTAACCGAATAAAGAATGGCTTTTTCAATAAGGAAAATGTTGAGATGACTCTTAATTACTAATTAATACTGGTAT